GAATTTAAAATAAACATTATTATTGCCGCTATTATTATTATTATGTTTTTTTTTAATGGTTCTCAAGCCCTGCACTCGCTTGAAGATGAGCAGTTGTGTTTAGCGGTTAGTGGGTTGGTGACTGAATTTTAAAGGTTGTCAGTTACTGCATAAATTTGCTGATATGGTAACAGCGTAAATTTAGTCATGGAAACGCATTACGTAAATGTGATAAATATAGTTACTTTCTTTTTTTCTTACTGGTAAATCGTCGTTAAGTCATTTTATTTCTAATTTAATTTGAGGAAAAAATATTCTTTTTAATTAAAATGTTGCAGTCTACTGCACTTATTTTACACTGCTTCATTACGCTGCTGTAGTTGATAAGATTCTTCAACTGTTTTCCATGTTCAAAATGCGGTCATCAAATGAAATTAAGGACATCGAGCTCTTTATGCAAATTATATCCGACTATCTTCATTGAATGTTGTTTTTTCATAAGTTTGTAGCTATTTTTTTAGTAGGCAAAACTTCCTATTTTCTTTGTCGTTTTAGAAATTGAGCATCTCCGAACGTCTCAATTGTCAAGTGTTAGATATGAACTACAGTAGACCAGAAATCTTTTGAAGGAGACCGTTTATGGTTGAAAACCATCATTGTCTGTAACTCTGCTGACTGCTTTTTTATAACAAGTAGTCGTGTGGACAAAGTGAACTACTGAACGGCTCGGAATCAACTACTGCTCACGAAAAGTTGACTGAGAAAGAGAAATGTTGCAGACTGAAACTCTAGAAAAATATTATATGGATCTAATGAAGCTTTTATAATGTAAAGAGCTATAAAGAGTAGTTACTAAATAAAAAATGAAAAGAAAAAAAAGGAAGAAGAAGAGGAAAAAAGAAGGAAGAAGCATAATTGGCAAAAGTGTAAATGGTTACAACTGGAAATGTTTATCCTGTCGAAAAGACAATCTGACAGTGTCAATGAAAAATAGTCTAAAAGTTTTCAGTAATATTTCGAGGAAGAATCGCATGAGAAATGTACTTTCTCACTAATATTGTCAAATGCAGGCAGATTTTGTTGGTGAAATTTTGTACTTTATTCGGTGTTATTATCAGATTTTAAAAACTCGATTATCTGTCGATCGCTGAAGTTTCTTATCATCACTCAATTG